TGTCATGGCAGCTACCTCTCCCCTCTCCCACAGTCCCTTGCCAGAGCAATCTAAAAGTCCCACCCCGTCTCCCTGCCCAGCCATGGGCTGTGTGACAATTCTTTATTATCAATCGAAGCCAACTGAGGGCAGGGATCCTCGGTCCGGAAGCGCGGCTTTTGGAAGCCAAAATCAGACAGGCATTAGAACCACTTCCCAACAGGAGTCCCTGAGGAATGAGCTCTTGTGAGCTGGGCACACCCAGGGAGCGTGTAAGCTGGGCATGCCCAGGGAGCATCCTGGCATGGAAGCTGGTGTGCCAAAAGCCGGCCACTCTAAAGGGAAATGGGGAAGTGAACACAGGGGAGGGAGGTCTGGCCTGTCAAAGACCAGAATCTTCCAAGCTCAAGCTGCTACCTGTTCAGTGATGTCTCAATCTTGCTGACCCTCGGTCCCTGTCACTGGCTCCAGAGCAGCTGTTCTTATGTACAGGATGAGTGAGGGAGAGGCAGCCCAGCCTGGTCTGCAGAGTGAGTTCCAGGACAGCCATGGCTACACAGAAAGAAAGAAAAAATCAAGAGGAAACCACTTGACTGTTGGTGGTATAATCAGGGATGGAGAGGGCTGGCAACAGGGTCCCTGAACACAACCAGGACAAAGCAAAGAGCAGCCTGAGCCTGAGAGGTGTGGGATGCTGCTCTGAGGAGGACACAGGACCCAAAGGCCCCTTTACTTTTCTACAGAAATCACTAAGACCTGATACAGACATTTATGGCTGGATCAACCACGCAACAGATGTGGCTTCTTGGTGTCCTCCAGAAACAGCTGCATGTGAGGTGAAGGAGAGTACACCGGGCACCCAGACACCAGCAGCAGGACACGGATGGAGCCTGAGTGTGCCCAGAGTCTCCGCTCTGGAGACTCAGTGCTAATCAGCCCCACGAGCATGGGAGCGTTTATCAATACGGTCCCCACTGCTTAACCATGAAACCACACCGTATCATCCAGCTTGGAGCATCCCCTCAGCCCAGCAGCCTGCTCCCTGAATCCCAGCCGAACCCCACAGGAAATTGAACCAAACTTACGGTTAGGTAAATAAGTGCAGTGAATTGTTATTTGCTATTAAAAGAAAATAAAAACTGTGGTAGCACATGCCTGCAATCTCAGTCTCCAAGAGGCTGTGGCAAGAGAACTTCTGTGAGTTTGAGGCCAGCTTGAGATACATAGCAAGTATTAGACCAGCCAGGTCTATATAGCAAGACATTGTCTCATTGAAAGAAAAAAAAGAGAGAGAGTGAGAAACAAAGAAACAAAGAGAAAAATCAAACATGAGGAGATGGCCCAGTGGGTACCAACACTTGCCAAGCAAGCATGAGTACCTAAGCTCAAATCTCCAGCACCCACATTAAACCCAGGCAGGGTTCTATGCATCTGTGATGCTAGCATTGGAGAGAGGAGATGGAGAATCTCCAAGAGCTTGGATCAGTCAGCCTAGCCACACCTAGTGTCTTAGTCAGGGTTTACTTCTGTGAAGAGACACCATGACCAAGGCAAGGCAGCTCTTATAAAGAACATTTAATGGAGGCTGAAACTTCAGAGCTTCAGTTCATCATCATCAAGGTAGAAACATGGCAGCGTCCAGGCAGACATGCGGCTAGAGGACCTGAGGGTTCCACACCTTGTTCCAAAGGCGGCTAGAAGACTGCCTTTGTAGCCATCAGGTCTAGGGTCTTAAAGCCCGTGCCCACAGTAACACACCTACTCCAACAAGGCCACACCTAATAGTGCCACCTCTTGGGCCAAGCATCTACAAACCATCGCACCTAGGTTTAGAGAGACCCTGTCTCAAGGGACTAAAGCAGAGAATTAAAGGACATCCCACATCGTCCTTTGGTGTTTGCATGCACGTAGGTACACAGACCCACACACATCCAAGTATACAACACACATACACACAAACATGCCACACACACTCTCAACAAAGGAAATAACATATTGGTACACGCCATCATCATACATTGTCCTACACAAAAGAATCCATTCACACACCAAAAACCCCTTATGATATGATTTAATTATATACGAGTCAGTATCTCCACTGTAGGGGATATGCAGACAGGCAAATAGACTAATGGTGTCCCAGGGCTGTGGAGATGTGGGGACCTTGGAGAGTGGCTACTGATGAGTGCAGCGTTTCTTTTAGGATTGATTAGAAGTGTTTTAACTGTACACCTCTGTAGATATACTAATCACCAGTCAGACATTTGAAATAGATTGCTTTCATGAGGTATAACCAAATAATATTGTAATTTTAAAAACATAAGAAAATGCTCATTGCTGGGCGGTGGTGGCGCACGCTTTTAATCCCAGCACTTGGGAGGCAGAGGCAGGCGGATTTCTGAGTTCGAGGCCAGCCTGGTCTACAGAGTGAGTTCCAGGACAGCCAGGGCTACACAGAAAAACCCTGTCTCGAAAAAAAAAAAACACAAAAATAAAAAAATATAAAAAAAAGAAAATGCTCATGGGCTCAGAGCCAGGACAGATAGAGGGACTGGCTGACTGGACCCACTGACCATGGCCACCAAGTGTGCCAAGTGTCAAGACTGTGTACATAGCCAAGAAGATAAGCTCTCTGGGCAAGGACAGGTACAAGTTCTATCTCTGTTGTAAACACTGCAATAAGATGTCGACTCCCTGGAGGCCACACTGAGTGTAATGGGGAGCCCTTCTGCCACTATTCAGCTACGCCATTCTGTTTGGCATGACTATCAGGGGTACCAGTTCCCATATCTATGAGAAGCCTCTGACCTAGGGCTTTCAGGTCATCTCACTGGTCTAAATGAAGGATGGGAGATCAGAGGTTCACACACACACACACACACACACACACACAGTCCCAACAATGCCTCTAGTCTCTCTGTGTTCACTGAAGAGCCCAGCATGTGTCCTCAATGCACCCAAATAGTGTGCTTTACCATTTTTCTGAGGCAGTGACCTGGGCAAGGACCAGCACCAGCCCCATCTGGGCCATGAGTACTGCTCCAAGACACTGACCCCAGTGGGCACTCTGAGCGTGATGGCCAGCCCTCCTGCCACAGCCTAGTTATAGAATACTCTTGGGACCTGAGGTACTGAACATTGCCACTGTGAGCAGCCATATCTATGACAAGGACCCTGAAGGCACAAGGTCACTTACTTGGCTATAAGGATGCTACTCCAACCCTGCCTCAGTGTGTCTTGCCTATGAGCCCAGGGCCTGAATGGTGAAGGAAGCCTCCTGGGTAGTCTCCAGAATAGCCCAGAATTCCAGCCCTGTTGCTCAGTGTGTCACCTAAGCATGTCTTATGTTACCTAATGCCCCACCATTTGTCTCTGTGTGTCTCCATGGTCCCACATGTCCTGTGTCCCTGTGACCAGCATTCTCTGTGTCTCATGTCTTCATGTCCTTGATGGCTCTCTGAAGTGGCTGTCCTACCTCATTCTTGTTGCCTATGTCTACCTGCCAGTGTTTACACTGCTTTCTGGTAATGGCCTTAAGCTCAGAGCATTCCCAGGGGATGGCACCTCTGCCAAGAGCCCTCTGTGGCCTCCCACACTGCCTTACCCCTCGTGTGGCTCACAGTGGTCAAGACTTTTGCTATCAATAAACACTTTGACCTAAGGATTGAAAAACATAAAGAAGGAAAAAAGGAAGGGAGAGAGAGAGGGAGGGAGGGAGGGAGGGAAGGAGAGAGGGAGAGAGGGAGAGGAAGAGAGTGAGAAAGAAAGGGAGAAAGAGTGAGACAGAGACAGAAAGAAAATGTTCACACGTAGAACTGTCTTGGGGATTTTCCTCTATGTACACTCCTTTTATATTTTACCATGCAAGGCATGATTAACCTCCTGGGGTAATGACGGTGCATCATGTCAACTTCGATTCTCACTTCCTCCTGGAGTGCCAGTCTTCTTCCATCACCGTTTGGAAAGCTCCTTTTAGCTGCCCTCAAGGACAGCAAGCTCTCAGTCCTCCTTTGTAGGACACACTCATCATCTTTGTCCCAGAGCATCTGCACACGTCACTTAAGGGAGGAGAGAAGGTTTTGCTCAAGGTTTTGGCGGGAATGACCCATGGCCTCTTGGCCCTGTGTGCTTGAGACCATCATGGTGGCAAGGCCCTGAAGTGGCAGAACTTCTCTCAGCTCATGGAAGTCAGGAAACAGAAAGGAAGGAGGAGCCATGGACAAAACACCCTCAAGGACCAGTGCTAATCCTCTCCTTCCAGCAAGACCTCACTTCCTGAAGTCACCACAATCTGTCAAAATAATCACCAAGTAGGGGACAAGTGTGTGTGTGTGTGTGTGTGTGTGTGTGTGTGTGTTTCTGCCTTATTTTTTTTTTTAGTTCTGTGTATCAAATAACACAAACATACATAAAGTGGAGTGAGATTCCACTGGAAGGAAACATGTCCACCTAACTGCAGGAGCTGAGAGAGGCCTAGGAAGTTGCTCCTTGAGAGACCATGTGACTTGCCTGAGCCAGAGCTGACTTAAACCCCCAGCTCAAGGAGAAAGAAAGAGAGAGGGGGAGAAGGAAAGTTGGGTGGGGTGGAGCTAGAGCCAGAGGACGGAAAGAGAGAATAAGACAAAGAGGTGAAGAAGGAAAGGACGAGAGAGAGGAAAGCTGGTAGCTAGCCAGTCAAAGTTGTGATTTTCCAAAGAAGGGGGCAGAGCCTAGATGACAGACTCCACTCAGCAAGCAGCCTTCCTGCCCGCCTACCTTCCCTCCCCACCAAAGCAGCTCTCTAGTGCTGAGTTCCACAAGCTTTGAGGATGATGCACCTTCCTCCTCCCATGCTTCCAGCTCTTAATCTGCTCTCCTCCTTCCTGAGTCTTGTCCCCTCAGTACTGGCTTCTGAGCACCGAATAGCATCGACCTAGGCACCCAGCTTTCTTGGACTCTCTGCTCCTCTGTCCCCACCCCCACCCCCTCCCCCGTACATCCGGGCCCCCTATACTCTCACAGACCACAGGACAAAGCAGAAGGATAATCCCGAGATTTTATTTAATTATGCAAGGGGAGGGTCTGATATTTTTCCAGTCCTGCTGGGTGGTCAGTCTTTGAAGATTGGAAGAAAGCATAAGAGAACACCCCAATGGGAGCTCTGACTGCAGTGCCCTGCACCAACAGCCTCAGACTTGTCTAAGATGTTGATGACCTCAGTCACTCTGATGCTCCCAATGTGCTGAAAATCTGCTAAAAGCTTGTGTGATTCGCGAGCACAGCCCATGATGAGGAAGGTGGTATTGAGATTCCCTGCAAGGAAGGAAGAAGAGTCAGGGATGGCTTCAAGGATCAAGAGCCCTGCTCTCTTCCCAGACACCCCTCACCAACCGGGACACCTGCTCTCTCACCAGAGATTTGGATTCCAGCAACCATACCTGGTCTGACTTGGAATTCATGTGTCTAGCGTCCTGTACACAAATCTTACCTCCAGATCCCACATTCTCTCGGGAGTACCAAAGGCTCTGGAGACTATATACTGCCCATGGACAGTCATTTGATAAAAGCTCTCACCTGCCTGAAATTGTAAGGTGGAACTGTAACACGAGGAAGCAGCAAAGGGGCAATTCTCAGTGGTGACAAAGTTTGGAAGACATTCCTCGTCATGCTTGCCCACGCAAGTTGGACAGCTTTTGGCAGAAGGTAGTGTGGACATGTGTTGGCTGGCCTTGAGTCTCACAAAAGGCTCCAGGTTGGTTAGATTGTTGCAGAGGTAGGACCTGCAGACGCGGCTGTAAGAGGCGACGGACACTCCGGGTGGAGACACGAGGTAGGAGATTTGGGGAGGGTAAGAAAAGGCGGAGCTGCAGCCTTTAAAACTCAACACTCCCTTTCTGGTCCCTGAAGATCAGAGGAGAGAGGTTACAGTCGCTGTAACCCACTCAGGCCGCTCCCCTTCCTAGTCCCTACCTTCCCTGGACTCCCCAGGCCCCAAGACCAGCTTGTGTTGTTCCCATGTCTGCAGACTGTAGCTGCATGGGGCTGAGAAGCCAGGGCTTTCTCTGTCTTCTAGTCCTTCTTGCTGCTCTCGCTCCTGTGACTGCTTCATCCTTCCCTCTTCCCCAGGTTGTCCCTACCCCCGGGGACCTGTCCACTCCCATACAACATTACAGTTACCTGTTCTTCCCAGTAATCCCTAGTCCTCCCTCTCCCTCCTGAATGTCTCCCAAAGCAGTTAAGCTGAAGCTACTGATGTGTCCCCTGTGACTTGCATGCCATCAAGGCACATGAAGTGTTTCACTGTCACACAGTTTTATTGTGTGCGTGTGCTAATGTTACTATCTAAATGATCAGCACGATGCTTTTATGATCAATTTGTACACATATGTGTATGTGCGACCTGTGTGTGTGTAATACCAGTATGTGTGTGTGTGTGTGTATAATCCCAATATCTGTGTGTTTATAATCCCACTGTGTGTGTGTGTGTCTGTGTGTGCACATGTGCATGTTCATGTGTGTATGTAATCCTAGTCCCAGGCATTGGGACTATAGCTAAGAAGGTGGGCGAGCAGGAGCAGGACCAGATGGAGGGGTGTCACCTGTCTCGATGAACACTACGGTCTCCTCGCAGCCCTCTCTCTGATTGCACACCATGCTCCTCAACAGAAGCCACTTCCAGTTATGCAAGGACACGGCTCTGAAGGCGGACGCTGTCGCCTCGTAGCACAGAAGAGCTTCAGTACCTAAAGACACAATGCTTTTCCAGTTATCTGTCTCCCGCCTTCTCTTTTTGTTTATTGGATCTTTAGGGTTTGGGGGGAGGTGTTGTTTTCAATTTTTGTTTTTGTTTTTTCGAGACAGGGTTTCTCTGTGCCGTCCTGGCTGTCCTGGGATTTACTCTGTAGACCAGGCTAGCCTCAAACTCAGAAAACCACCCGCCTCTGCCTCCCAAGTGCTAGGATCAATGACTCATCACGGCTTTCTACGTCACCATCTTAACAACAGCACGCAGATAAGCTTGACCCCTGAAGGGAGCAGATCCACAGCCCACTTTCCACCAGAACACAGTGCAACCTCCCACACACGGCCTTATAGCATACAGCCCTGCAGAACATACAAGGCAGTAAAGAGATGGCTTCTAAGAGGCACAGCAGCTGCAGAGATCCGTGCAGTACCATGGTTCCGTGTCAGGGTCCTGGATGTGACAGGTCACTCTGGAGCCAATTTCAGCTAGAATCTCAGGTTTGGCTCTTGTCAGTGCCTGACTCCTCTGTCCACTTCCCTGTGGGTCACTGTTTCTAAGGAAGAAAATTGACTGTGTCAGCTGCTGTGGTATGGTCTCCCTTGAGACCTTCAACGACACAGGTTTCCCATCTCTGTGGTCTCCCCTTCAACATAATTCATACCCAGCACTATCTGCGTTTCAAAAGACACCTCTCACTCTTCTGCTTCTGGCCATGGTGCTGATCCAAAGACTCACCGTGACACAGGCTGTTCTCCAGCCAAATGCAATAAAATCACAACAGCAAATTGAAAATTAACACTTCAGTGTGAACCAAGCATGATAGATCACACCTGCACACCTGCATCACACCTGCTGACCTACATTTAAGGCCAGCCAGACCAAATGAACAAATTCACTGCATGAGACCCTGTCTCAAATACAAAAAACCAGGGAGAGAGTAGATATGGACATTTTCCTAAATCCCCTTTTTTGACTAAGGAAACTAAAAAGTATTTAGAACTGTAGAACAACAACCATAATGCATATCACTCATGGATAAGGATGCGTATAAAATATGCAAGAAACTAAATATGGTCTAGTTACAGTATTACACCATCAATTTCATGATAATATACCATGGTGCCATATGCCTACAACCCCAACATTTGTAAGGGGTAGACTGGAAGATCAGAAGTTAAAGATCACCTTGAACTCCAATAACAAGTTCAAGGCTAGCCCAGCCTACATGAAACCCTGTGTCAAACATAAACAAAACAACAAAAACTATACAAAACATGCAAACTTATTCAAAGCCAGTGGCCTAAGGAAATACGTAATACTTTAAACCGACAAAATTACGGATCTTCTTTATACCACCAAGAAAAAAAGAGAGCGAAATTTGGCTAAGCTCATGAAGAAGCTATCCTCTCAAGAGTCAAGACTAGGCATTTGAGGAGGTGCTCAAATCTAACCACAGCCTGTGAAGTGCAATTATCTCGCAAACTGTACCATTACACAACTCACAGGCTGACAGCAATCAGTGAGCTGGAAGAGGGGAAGTGTTGGCAGGCGTAAGATAATAAAGACACTTCTGTACACTGTTGTTTGTGGAGTGATTGAAGGATAGACGGAACCCCTGGGAAAAGAGGAATTGGGAGTTCCCATCAGTGTCTAAAGCCTAGTGCAGGGAGAAGTCTAACAATAGTCAAATTAGGTTTATAAATACCCACTACATAAATATAAGGAAAATCTCCACCCTCCAATACATGAGGAGACACCGTTGTGTGATGTGATGGTAAGAGGTTCGCTCACCGCCTCCTAAAACTAAGGGAGCGCACAACCTGCAGGGAGGTACACCACAGAACATCAGGAGTAACTGATGTACACATGCAACCGGGCAGTGGTGGCAAAGGCCTTTAATTTCAGCACTCGGGAGTCAGAGGCAGTTGGATCTCTTAGTTTGAGGCCAGCCTGGTCTATAGAGCAATTTGAGACCTTGTCTCAAAAACAAAACAAAACAAAAAAACAAACAAACAAAAAGAGTTAGAGAGGTGGCTCAGCGATTAAGAGCCCCCGACTGCTCTCCCAGAAGACCCAGGTTCAGTTCCCAGCACCTACACAAAGCTGACCACTTCAGTTTGAGGGATCCAATAACACACACCAAAGCACACGAGATAAAAATAAACAAATAAAAATAAGTAAAAGCCGCGAGGTGGTGGCGCAAGCCTTTAATCTCAGTACTTGGGAGGCAGAGGCAGGCGGATTTCTGAGTTCGAGGCTAGCCTGGTCTACAGAGTGAGTTCCAGGATAGCCAGGGCTACACAGAGAAACCCTGTCTCGGAAAAAAAAAAAAAAAAAAGTAAAGAGGAATAGATGTACACGTGCACGTGGGTTAGCCACAAAAAGAACAGTGCTGTCATTCAATAAGACATCTACCATGTCCACAAAATACTCGTGTACACAAGACACTATACATCTCTGGAGATCACACACGAAATCAGAAGAAACACACTAAACCACCTTAGGGCGACCACCTACTGGAAGCTTAAGGGATGGGGATGCACAGGATTGCGAAATCGTGAAAACCACGGGGCTGCCATGTTGCCAGGCTTAGCGTCCTCCACGCTAAAACAAAGTCATGCTCTCCAAGTCGGGAGAGCTTGTGCCCTGTGACAGCCTCTTCTTACTCACAAAACTCTCCATCCCTCAGGGTCATTGCGAATATTAATAAGATTATTATCGAGCACCAGAAGGCCACCCGCTTAAGCATCCACGTCTCTTGCGCTCCCTCCTCCCGGTGTGAAGCTCAGACTCTCTCCAACCCGCCATTCAGCAATCCCAACACCCCAGGTCGGGCACAAAGCACCTTTCCAGCTCCGGGACACATCCTCTGCATAGCAGCAGTCCAGCCGGAAGTCACTTCTGCCGCCTTCTTTAACCCAGATGTGTGTGGCCAAAGGCAGGCTGGAAAGCCTGCGCTAAACACCAGGCATGGAAGGGGAAACGAAGGAGGCCTAAGCGCCGGGGCCCAGGTTGTGCGCAAGCGCAGTGGGTCTGCGTCAACGCCTGTGGTTCCTGCCGGTGGGGGCGGGGGTGGGGAAGGGCCAGCCTCGCTCTGGCTGAGGTAATTCGACGCCCCATTGGCTGCCTGCTTCCGGAGGGAAGAACAGTCTGGTGAGGTCAAGGCGGGAGGCAACGTGTGTGTGAGACTCAACTCGACGCGCTATTGGCTGGAGCGATTGTTGCCGCGGAGAAGCGGGTGGGAAGGAAAGGGGCGGGCCGACGGGGCACGATCGCGAAGCCGATTGGCTGCGGGAGCGCTGTGCTTGGAGCTCATTGGTCCTTGAGCGAAGGAGCTGGGAGGGGGGGTGCGGAAAAGCCGCTGGAGCCGGCCGTTCCTCTTCGCCACTGTGTCGCCCTTTTCTGTGGGCCTTCTCCCGGCTGACTGTGATTCGGCTCGAGGCTGTGGTAACCACCCGCTGGCGGCATGAACATCATCCCGCCCCTCCTTGCCCCCCCTCTCCTTGGCTGGGTCCCCACCATGGCCTCTCCTTGTTGCCCCCCTCGCGCTGCTCGGCTCTTACCCCCACCCCCACCCCCACCTCCTGAGCGCGGTCCTCGTGCCCAGCCCCCTCCCTGGGACCCTGGAACGGGAGGGGCCACAGGCCCAGCGTTTGGGGGTGATGGATGGCTGATGGAAGGGGGCACCCAAGTAATGGTTGCTTGGGAAGGGACCATGCACGCCATGAACATGGGGTCCAGGGGCGTAAGCCCCACGAGCTGCAGTGGCTACATGGATTTTCAAGATGTCCATGCAGCTGGGTACAAGAAAGTGGGGTCCCGAGAACACCTCTGGCCTACACCAGGACTCCCCGCTTAGCAGGGACGCAGTAGCTATTTGGGAAGGGGGTTTGATTTTTTTTTTTTTAATGGCAGGGTCTCATGTAGCTCAGGACGATCTTTGTCTCCTAGCAGCAACCTTAAACTACTGATCCTCCTGCCTCTACCCCCACAAAACCTGTCATTTTAAGCATGTGCCACCACACTCAGTCAGGTTTTGTTGTTGTTGATTTTCTTTTATTTTTTTTAAGATAGTCAGTTGCCCAGACCGGCCTAGAACTCAACAATAATACACTCCCAACTGCCGGGATTACAGATCTGAGCTAGCATGCATGGTTCACTGAACATTTGTTAAACTGATAGTCTGAATAAAATATCTAGGAAGCCGGTGGTACAGGCCAGTAATGTAATCTCAGTTACCCGGGAGACTGAGGGAGGAGGGTAGCAAGTTCAAGGCCATCAGGGAACACTTACCAAGACCTTGTCTCAAAAGGTCGGGGGCTGGGGAGGTAGCTCAGTGAGGAGCATTTATCTAGCGTGTATTTAAAAGGCTAATTTAGGTTCAATGCCCATTTCTTTACAAAACAAAATCCCCCCTAGTGAAAATGAGATATAAAATCTCTTGAGGATAATATTGTTACTATAGAGTACAAAAACAAAAAGCCAGGCTTTGGCGACAGACACCTTTAACCCCAGCACTCCGGAAGCAGAAGCAAATGGATCTCTGTGAGTTTGAATCCAACCAGATCTCCATAGAGCATTCCAGGCCAGCCAGGGATACACACATAATAGTGAGATCCTGTCGCCAAATATAATTAATGAAAAAATAAACCACAGGGGCTGAGGAGGGGCCTCAGTGGATAAAGCACCTTGAGCACATTTGTGAGTAGCTGAGTTCAGATCCCCATATTAAAGGGTGGGTGCAGTGACATGTGCCTGTGACCCCCACTAGGGGTGGGGAGCTGAGACAGGTAGATCTCTGAAGCTCGTTGGCCAGTCAGTCTAGCTAAAGCCATGAGCTTAGGTTCAGCAAGATGACCCTATCTGAAAAAAATAAATCAAACTGGAGAACAATGGGGGAAACACATCTGATGTCAGCCACTAGACTCCAGACATGCTTACACGCTGTTAAAACACACACCCCAAAGTCACAGTGGTGGCATAGAAAGAGCAGATTGAATGAGATAGCTCCTGTGGGACTTAGAACTGAGGGGCCACATAAAAATGTAAGGACTGGATAAATGCAAGGATACTATGACAGCTGTTGAAGAGAGTCCCTGAAGGCCCTGTCTGTAGAATGGGTGTGAGCACGCTTGAGGGGTCTGGGAGGACAATCGTAGATATGCCCAAGCATGGCAAAGCGGGTAGGTGAGCAAAAGTGAAGGATCTTTGTGTTGAGTGAATACTTAAGAGGGTCTATGAGAAAGGTTGTGGGGTGAAGAGAGGAGAATCCAAGGTGAAAGCCGGGTCCTGAGAGGGCCAAGATGGATGGCTACAGATGTGGCTTCCTTAAAACAGAAGGACTGGGTAGTACAGAGCCCATGTAACTGTCCTGACCCACCACTCCTGTCCCTAGATCCATGGACCCCAATGAAACGCCCGTTCGCCACCACT